TGTGGTGTCGGGACGCACAGTCCCGGTCGCCACTTGTCACGACGAACAGATACAGGCATCTCCGGTCACCACGCTCGCAAACACAGCGACGGCCTTGTCCCCGGTCTGGTGGCGGCGGCGTCGGCAGCCGCTCGGTCCCATAGGGAACGTGGGAAGCGTGCAGCGGCCGGCTCCAGTTGCAGGCGCGCGCGGCTGCTGCAGGCGCGTCGGCGCTCCCCGCCCGGGTCCGAGCACATGGGGACGCCAAACTGACATAAGCGTCCGAAGCGTTCCGCAGCTTCCTGACCCCTTGCGCCACGACTGACGGACGGAGACGCGCGGAGCACCTGGCTAATACATCTCTCTCGATTCTCGACACGGGTCCCGATAGCCACATACCACGGCCAAGATGATGGTCTGGGTTGAGAGCGCGCCGAACACCGATGCTACGCTGTGATCGCATCGACTGGCAACGCTACAACTGATCTCTCCCGCTTCCCATCCCTCCCTTCAGCAGACAAACCTCCCGGCTATGATCGGTTCCGCCTCTCCGAACGCCGCCGCCTCAGCCGGACAGGCGCGTCCCAGGCGCCGACCCCGCCGCAGCGTGTCGGGGTCGTCCGTTCCGCGCGGCCGCCTCCCGGCCGGCGCAGAGCCGGCGTCAGCTGGCCCCCCGTCAAAAGGCGGTGCTGATGGAGGCGACGGTGCCGCGTGACACCGCGGTGCGCGGCCGGCGGGTGCCGGGCCGCCGCCGGGCCGTGCAGCACCGCCGGACCGGCTGTCACCGGCCGCCGATAGGTCATCGGGCCCGGCGGCGGCTCCCTGAGCAACGGTACTGGCTCCTGCGCCTCGGCGATGGCGCCTGCGCGGTGGGAGCAGCTCCGACGCCAGCTCCAGGGGCACCGTGGCGGTCCCCGACCCTGGCGCGTGCTCCGAGGACCCAGCCACGAGCACGGCAGACGCTGCTACCTGCATCCACGTCACCGTTTATGAGCCCGATGTGACGTAATCCCACAGTCAATACCGTCTGATAAGTCGGCTTATATTTCCTGATTTCCTGTCGACCCTATTACGTCAGTTAACGAGGCCCATCATCCAGGTTTGCGGCATCCGCCCCCAGGCCCGGCGATCAGCTGCCGCCGCTGACAACCGTCTTGCTGCCCACAGGCGCGGGCATCCAGTGCTACCGCTGCACCTACAAGAGCATCTCGCAGCGACGCAATCGCACTGACCCCATCTTTCCGTGCGCCACGTTCGACGGACACTCCAAGTACGTGGTCGACTGCCCCAAGTCGACCATGTGCGAGATGAAGACCTTCATCCTGGACCTGCCCAACGGAGGTACGTGGGCGGGACGCCGGCGTCGGAGGCCGCAGGCATTTCCCCCGGCAACTCGGCGAGCGCCGCACCGCGTCGTCCTCGACGACAGGGCGGCGACAGCGAGAGCGATGACGCACCGCAGTCGGCAGGCGCGCGCGCTACGCGCGCCGTTCGTTACTGGTCTGTTTTATCGCCGCTTTGTTTCAATTTCGTCGCGCCTGGGGCGATTTTGGCGCGCTTTGCTGCCAAACAACTATTCCCCGCCTCCGCGTGGTCCGCAATAAATCGCGGCGACCAGTCAGCATAACAAACGACGCGCCCCGTCGCCTGGTTAGAGAAGAGCAGAGCAGACAGGGCGCTGACCGTCTGCCTTCCTCGGCCGTCTCGACCTCCACAAGGCGTACGATACGGACGTACATTCACGGGGGGGGGGGGGGGGGGGCTGGCGTCGCCGATGCCAGGGCAGCGGCGTTGGCGTGACTTTTTCTGCGGCGTCACCTGCTGGCGCCTCACGAGTGCTCAAGTGCTGGAAACTACGGCAGCAGAGCTCTCAGAACTTGGCCACCTGGACAACTGTTGAGAAGATTACTCTGTCACCGTTTTGAGTTGTTTTTTTTTTCTCCTCATGCCCGGTATCGTTTCCAATCTTAACCAAGAGGCTTATCCCGTGCATCGTTCCTGCAAACAAAAGGCAGCCCGTTGCTGATCCCATGAAGCCAGAGGGCCGAGCACAGTGCGCCAGCCGGCGTCGGAATGCGACAGACACCGAACAGGCTGGCCCGTAGCCTGTTTGTTCTCGACTGTCGGCGACGGCGGCGGCGGCGGCTGGGGTGCGTCCGCCTCTGGCCGCCGGCTGGGTCGTGTTTACTGCGCCGTCCAGGTCCGACGGGCGGACAGACACCACCCGGGCGTCGCGGCGGGAGCCGGCGCCGCGCGAGTCGCCCGCGCCCGCCGCGCCGAAGGGGATCGCAGCCCAGCTCGCGGGGCAGTCCTGGCGAGCGCGGACTGAGACTGGGCTAGACCGGGAGCCCGTGACCGGCGCCATCACGGGAATTCCCGCTGGCACGCACCGCAGCAACACGGCCCCGGGAGCCGTGAGGGCCGCCCAGCCGCGGGACGGGGCGGGGCGGGGGCGGTAGACAGAGCCCGGCTGGCGATGGCCGGAGCGCCGGACAGTGAAGGAATTGCGGCTGGGGACAGGCAGGCGCGGCGCTGGCTGGGTGTGATCAGAACGGGTCAACACGTCAGCAGCTCGAGCGCCAACGGACGTGGACGGGAACCATCGGATGTCGCAGCCAATGATGCAATGGCGCTGGACTGGTTTACAAAGTCAGTGAGTGACTCACAGGGCCGTGCCGGAAACGCATCCGGAACGAACTGCTACGAGCATGGACGGAGCTTGTTGTTAAGTGTGCCCGGGCGTAATCACTGCCTGCGTGCTGTTCGTGTTGTCCATCCCGACCGTCAGTGTGCCTCTAATCCGCCCTGACCGGATCGTCCCCCGGCGGAGAGAGCAGTGGACCACTACCTCCGCGCGCCCAGCGCTCGCTCCCGTGTCTGCCCCGCCACCTATTCACCAGCATCTTCCGTGCCGCAGAGATCGTCAGCACGACGACGCGCGACTGCGCGCACCAGAGCGTCACCTACCGCCGCTTCACAACAGCGCGCGGCTGGCACGAGGTCACCGACATCTTCGCCGACGCACACGCCGAGGGCTGCGAGCTCGTCGAGCACAGCGACGGCATCAAGGTCACGCGCACCGAGCACTGCTTCTGCGGCGCTGACCGCTGCAACGGCCGGCTGCGCTGGGCGCTGACCGGCGGCGCCGACGCCGTCCGGTGGCGACCCGCCGCCGCCGCCTCGGCCGCCGCCGCGCTCCTGCTGCTCGCCGCCGCGCGGTGACCGCAGCGCCCTTGGCGGCCGCTCGTCAGCGCCGCCACGCGGTGCGGCGGCGAGACATAGGAGGCCGCGTTGTAGTGCGCGCTCCCGCGACGGTCCCGACGCGTTATACGCTGCGGCCCCCGACGCGGGACGCGGACGGTGACGATCGCATGTTACGAGAGGGCGGAGACTGAGCCGCTCCCGGCGACCACGCACGAGAAAGACAGCGGACCAAGTGCGGTGTGCGACGGATGTGATACGCCCCGGATCTCAGCTGGCCTCTGTTGGCGCTGCGGCTGGCCACGGCGTGCCGGGCCCGACCGCCCGGCGCACGGCAGCGCTGCTGACAGCTGCTGCCCGGTGCCAACCGTAGCCTCCAGAGCGTTTATTGACGGTATTAGACGCGTGGTGTCGTGCCCGCGGTTGGTGTTAACGGAATACAACTAACAAGCCGAGAGGAGGCTACGGCCGCTGTGGTATCGGATTACTGAAGTGGTCAGCTGACGCAAAAACATAGCAATCCAACCGGCAGGCACAGGCGGGATGCAATCAGACAACTCTGATGACCGCTATTTGGAAGCAAAAACCCGGGTATGGGGTTCGGCCAGCGTGACCCACTTTCATTCCTGGGCTAGTGGCCTTGGACTGCCAGGTCGTACGCTCCAGGGACAAGCGGCGGCGCTAGACTAGCGTATTGGAGCAAAAAATAACCCGGCACATATCCTCGGCACCGTACACCGGACTTTGAGCGCTTCACCGTAACAACTTATGATAAACACGCTCATAAAAACTGCTGAATTTGAATTGACGATGGCACGGCGGCAAAAGGAGGGCGCGCCGGGAACACCCAAGATCCACTGGTCACTGTCAAAACTTCGCAGAGGTCCCCTTTCATCCCAACTCGGCGGTGTTTTGCACGAGCCTGACGACGCTGCCACACCGGCCCCGCCGAACGAGCGCCCACGTCTCGTCTGACGCGGCCGTCTCAGTTCTGACAAAGACGGACACCGTCTGGCAACTTAGGTCGGATGAGAGTCGGCAAAACACATATCGTCGAGCCGCTGGCAACGCGATGTTGGCGGGAGCGGCGCGCGCCAAACATCTGAACATGACTCACTAATTACGACGCCCAGCACTGACGGCGCTGCTTGGCGGACATCCCGTAGCCAGGTGGGGTCAACGCGGCCGTTTTCAGCTCCGTTACGGGGTGCGATGAGTTGGCTCAGTGCTGTTTTCCACAAAACCAATCTGAGCGCGCCGCAAGGCAGCTGATTGACGTTTGACGCGATCAACGCTAACTGACTCCAGATAAAACCATCGCCGTTGTTTGGGCTCATACGCAACAGCATTTCTATTGAAATTACCTCGGAAAAGCCAACCGTTTCGTAGCTAAATGCTATCTGGAAAAGCACTGACCCAAAAGCTGTCCGAAAGGCTTGACTTCATAACTGTAGTTCAGCTGTGCGATTCCAGAACCTTAACATCTGCTTTACGGCGGGGTCTAGACAACGGTTGCCTTGGACCTCACCGCACGACCCGTAACCTCTTTGAAACCGATTCCGTATACCAGCCGCGTTTTCCCGTGCCCACACCTCGGTGCGCAAAGCGAAAGAGCCGGAGCCTCAGCGCCCCGCCACTCGCAGTCCGCCAACAGCACAGGTGAAAACTGAAGAGCGAAGACAGCGCTCATCGAGCTAACCGCCCCAAGAGACGCGAGAGCTCCCTCGTCGGTCCCGGCAATTGTCTCCCAGCCGAGAACGTGCCAGCAACCGAGCGCCGTCCCCACCGCCGCTGGCTCCAGGAGGCGACAGCGTGCCCACCTGCGCGTTGAACTCGATGAGGAAGAGGAAGACGACGTCCTCGCGCAGCAGCCGGATCGCCGCGTGCAGCGGGTACCGCGTCTTCGTCTTGAACATCTCGTATACCAGCGGCGCCTTCATGTGCGCGAAGTCTTCGCTGGTGAAGTCGTTCTGTCGGCAGAGCGCGCTGTGACCAACCCCAGACAAGTCTGTGACCCCAGACATGAGCGCGAGTGCTCTGAAGATGGATGTAGCCTATGATGATGAAGACGATGAAGATGATGTAGACTATGGGGTGGCTCGGACGTTGGAAAACAAGCTGCCTGGCGAGCCGGACCGTAACGGCGGCCGGTCTCAGAGCGAGACCGAGCACCCGCGCCTGCACGCGAGCCTTGTTGCCCCCACTTGGCTACGATTCGTCACCGCCCAGCAGGCAAACGACAGAGGGAGACCGCAGAGGAGACCGCCTAAGGCCGTGAGTGGTAACGACCTCAGACAACAGCTAATAGGTCTCGTGCTCGTTACCCGAGTGTCCGCTATTGCATCGGCCCTCGATCAACGTCAGCACACAGCGTCAAGATGCCCATCATACCACTGACAAATACCGCAGCGGCGTTCCTAGAGATCAGTCACGCAGCCCACCAGCCCATTCATCGCCGGCCATTCGCTGACGGCGCGGGGGCCGGCCGGGACGGCAGGCGCGCGCTGACGCCACCGCCGCCTCCGACGACCGACAACAAACGGGCGGCGCGCGGCCCTGCGCCGTGACATCACGCTCCCTGAGTCATGCACTTCCGACGCTCACAAGCCCCGGGGTAAACTTAGCGCCGCGGCCGCCGCCAGAGAGCCCACCAGGGGACCGCGCTGGCGGGTGCAGATGGCGCTAGCGCACCGCCCGGTCTGCAGAAATAAACAGCCGCCGGTGAAGTGCCCGCGTTGACTGCGGCGCGCGACAGGTGAGCGGGAGGGCTGAGGTTCAGGTGATAGGTGTAGGGAGCAGGTGCATGTGGACACGCCTCGCCTGTCGGAAGGCACGCCAATGACTTTGGCACCGGTGAGACGTGTGTTCGGCTTACTACTTCCGGGATCGTCCCCGCGCGGGCTCACGCGTCGGGACAGAGCACCAAGAACGCCTACAGGAGTGTTGGTCGACATAAAAGTAGAATATTGCCGCCGACTGCTCGCCCAAGCTATCCCAGATGTTTTCACAGAACGTACTCCAGTACGTTCTGTGCAAAGGAAACGATCTAAAAGTCACGGAGACAAAACGCTACGCAGCATGTTCAAATCCTTCACGTGAACCACCTGAATGTAAACCAAGCACAGCCATAAGACCAATGACTTACTGTTAAGGCTGCCAGGCACCGGTCCATACCCAGCAGTTTCCACACACGCACAGCCCATTCCCAAAGCGAATTCTTCCTCCACACTCCAGCATGCCCTGGACATTCCTCAACCAGAAGTCAAGCTCTAGCCGCACCACGCTGATAACCAGTGAAGTGGAGGGATCACTTCAGATGCTGAGTGCTCACAGGTGATTACTGCCAGCAACCGTTAAGGGATCATTAACTGGAAGTGACCTAGGCTAAGCTACAGTCGTGGCAGACCCACCACCATGGTGACGTAGCAATCCCACTATCTTGCCCGAATTTTTGAACAAGTTTCCCAACGTTCCAAAATGCAGCAATCCTTTGACCAAACGCCGGCACAGTGTCATCGAGACGGGGCCGCGATGCATGACCTCAGGTCACCGATGAGCAGGAGGTCGTCGTCCATCCCGTTCCCCCGGACCCCCCCCCCCTCCCCCTCCGCATTCCCCCGCAGCCGCCGTGACGTCGCCACCCACCCAGTGCGTGGAGATGAGTCGGGAGCAGTAGTCCTTGAGCGTGCCGGCGCCGATGTCGTCGGCCGTGGTGTAGAACTTGATGCAGTTCTTCACGCTGACGGACGACATCAGGGCGTTCTCGCACCTGCCGGCGGCCCAACGGCAGCGGCGAGTGAGTCGCAGACCGCGGGCAGAGACCGACATCGACACGCGCAGTCACACGGCGCGTCGCCGACGCCAGCCAGAGGTACACTCTGTCCCTGACGACAGAGCGGGCCTGTGACGCCGGAGAGTGTCCCGGCTCCAAAATCGGCCTCCGATGGCGGGAGTCTCACGCACGGCTGGTCGCCGCGCTGCACTTTGACACGCAGCAGCCCCCGCGCCCAGCTGGTCAACAATCCGACATGGCTTCATAAGCGGCGCGGCGTGCCGCGTGATAACCAAGCTGCCGGCACACATTATCTAACCCCTGACACACTTTAGAGGCCCGCTGATAGCAGCCAGCTCGCTGGCAGGCTGCACACGCCGGGGCTGTGTGAGACGCCACTAGGGCTGTGTGAGAACGCCATCGGGGCTGTGTAAGAACGTCATCGGGGCCGTGTGAGAACGTCACCGGGGCTGTGTGAGAACGTCATCGGGGCTGTGTGAGAACGTCACCGGGGCTGTGTGAGAACGTCACCGGGGCTGTGTGAGAACGCCATCGGGGCTGTGTGAGAACGTCACCGGGGCTGTGTGAGAACGTCGCTGGGACTGTGCGAGATGCCACCAGGGCTGTGTGACAACGCCATCGGGGCTGTGTGAGAACGCCATCGGGGCTGTGTGAGAACGCCATCGGGGCTGTGTGAGAACGCTATCGGGCTGTGTGAGAACACCACCGGGGCTGTGTGAGAACACCACCGGGGCTGTGTGAGAACGCCATCGGGGTTGTGTGAGAACGCCACCAGTGTGCTGGTTTGCACGCTCCGCAACGGCATCAGCAGTAACCCGCTCACGCACACGCGGTTGCTGGATGGGCAGAGTGACAAACGAGGGCTTGTGACGCACCGGCGGTGTGGCATACGGACGAACGAAGCACCAGTTAGGCCACTGCGTGCTATGAAGATCCATATTTTGATGGCGTTCCTCAAACCCTCGCGTGGTTACATTGCGAGGTCCTCCAGTTTCAGCTCGCCTTACGTCCAGGGCAGACGTATAACACGCGTTCTTCTGAACATGTAGAGCTTATAAACACACGTCAAAGGCGGGTCCCCGCGCGGCGTCAGTCCGGTCCCGACTGCCAATGTGCCGCGCGCGTGCATAACGACTCCGCTTGGGCGCGTCCAGCTCGGACGCGTCCAAAGCATTCCGTCCTCCTTTTTGGACCGTTCATGCTGCCCAAAACCGTCCGGAGAATGTGCGTGCTGTGTGTATCTGTTTTGCGCCATTCATGACACAACACGCTGCACTGGTTCGCCCAAAGTGACCCGATGAACAGACTTCGTACTTGATTTCTAGTTCACACACCGTGAGCAAATCAGCTCACTTCTCCATCGGGTCTGCGCTGTTCCAAGTTAGCACAAACCCCGCCATCGATTTCGGGTTCGCCCCGGGCCACGCCGCGCCACGTGCCGGGCCGCGCAGCCACCCTGTCGGCGTCAGGATCACATACTTGGTTTTGAGCTCTGCGAGCTGGAACCGGTCGGCGGTGCGCATCACACCCAGCACGAAGTCGTCGCCCTGCGCGAGCGGCGCCTGGTCCGTGTAGAGCCACTGCAGTACCTCGAGGCCGACGTCCGCGCTGATGTCCGACCAGTCTGCGACGGCGGCGGAGGAGGGAGTCAGCACGCGGTGACCGCAGACGGGGTTAGACGGGAACAGACGGGTCAGAGAAGGGAAGGGTTTCGTGAAATGATGATCATGAGTGGCATGAGAGGGGCCGGACCTGTATACCGAGGACAGGTGCATGATCACTGGCAACTGAATGGCGTTAGAAACCACACCCCATATGGTCAGCAAATGTTCGTGCAGGTTGAACGTCACACGCCAACGCCAAAACGTCACATGAATGCTACCCAAAACTCAACTCGGACCCAACGGGAACAAGTCGGCAACGCCGCCACGTGGACAGCGCTGGAGGAGTAAGATACCTTCCCCCGCCAGCTGTAGAGGAGGGAAAGTCACGTCCGCCAGGAAACACCCCGTGTCAAGTCCCCAGCACTGGGCCCTGACTGACATGGCAGCAGCCAGGGCTGGACGCCACAGCAGCACGGCCACACGGCCACAGCAGGTCACCACAGCGGGCTGCACCAGCGGAGCACGCGCGGCCAGCCGGCTACCGCGCACAGAGGACACGTCGCCCAAGCCCGAGGCAAGGCAGCACAGGCGACCGAGCGGCCGCCCAGTGCTGGTGCTGCGACGCAGTGGGCATGGGATCTCCGCAGTCGGCAAAAGGCCTGGCCCGCCGAGAGGTTTGAGAGGGACGGGGGAGGACGGGAGAGCCGACCAAACCAAAGACAGCCATGAAAACCCGGCCAGTGAGCCGAAGTTCGTACGTAACAAATGCGTCATGCACCACTACGCCGAGAGAGGCAGACCAGCCGTCACGCCTGTTCAGAGCAGCGGCGCTGCGTCCGCCAGTCATCCGTCCTCGGCGGGCTGTTCGGTCACGCCCGACTGGTCCCAGGGCTAACACGGCCCGGCGGGACGCGCAACGACCGGCGCGCGACGGCCGACGGCACGGTCACACACAATGGACCCGGCGGAATCAGTGCCAAAAGTCTGACTAACGGTACCCACGCAGTCAGGTGATCAACGAGTGAAAAGGTTTCGACGTCGGGCCCATCGCGAGCCATGCAAACGTTTTTTTAAAAGTTTTTCCGGTGATAGCCCCAAACAGGCGTGTTACCAAGATGTTTTTAAACCACTTTGTGCAGCGAGCAACCCAGACGGCTAGTTTTTAGACGAGTACTGTCGGCTGCTCAGGCCTGTCACGTGAAGTATGGACTGGGCACCGCCGATCACTTTCAGGCTTCCAGTCGACCCTTGCCATTCCGCGTCAGAATTCGGGCCAACGGCGGGCCGTAATCTGGTCCACGGCTGTGAGCGGGTCCGCTAGAGCTGACAGAGTCATGCACTGAGCCTTCACGAGAAGATCAGCATTCAGTGAGACGAGTGGGGACAGGGTGGGCAGTGCCAGACTCCCGCGCAATGATGGGGGCGGCGCCCGTTACCAGACCCAAAGAAAACGATGCAAATGACGGGGCGTTTTACCCCTCCGCGATGCAGATTGTCCGCAGTGCGCCTTCAGAGCCAAATGGGCAGCGGAACAGACTCGACCAGTCGGCGTCCGTCCACACCAGGAACCGCTACCCCAACACCAACACAACGGCACGGTTTAGAACAGTCGTACGAAAGGATTGGAACGAGGTAGCATGACGGATGGCATAACCGTTCGGGGGATCGGCCTTGCCTGGCATGTTAGCATCCACACAGCTAGCGCACGGTTTACAATGTTCCCGACAGGTCACCAGGCATCGGGCGCAGCCCACAGAGGCGACATCACAGGCAGCCACACTGACCCAGTTCGGAGACACCGGCCAGCGATATCACAGACAGCCACACTGACCCAGCTCGGAGACAACGGCCAGCGATACCACAGGCAGCCACACTGACCCAGCTCGGAGACATCGGCCAGCGATATCACAGGCAGCCACACTGGCCCGGCTCAGAGACACCGGCCAGTGATATCACAGACAGCCACACTGACCCAGCTCGGAGACATCGGCCACCGATTTGACGCCCCAATGACTGCCGCGGGCCACGAACACGAACTTGTGCCCCTGGAACACCTGGTCGCCGACCTTCACTTGCAGGTCACTGGGGAGCAGGGCACACACTGAGTCACTGGAGAGCCAGACACACGGCTATACGGTGTTCAGGCGTTGTGCAGTCACTCCGTGGATAGAGCGTGGGAGCCGAAAGCGGCCAGCCGCAGCCACGCCGGGTGAGAGGTCCGCTGACTTTGATATTGTGTGACCTGTGACCTGTGTCAATTGTGACCGCGTCTTTTCCGACAGGCGGACAGACTTCACCCCACGTGACCATGTCATGTCGCAATTATTTTAAGTCAGTGCTCTCGTAACGCGAGCTCCGTGGCCTAACCGCTGCATTGTCTGGGCAACACACAAGGCGAGCGTATATTGTTCCGGCGGCATGCTCGTGCCAATACCACATTCCAACGCAGCGTTCTTCCTTCCCTCGCACTAGAGAAGTCACAGAAATACACTACATAGATTTCAGCTGTCAGTGGTCCGGTGACAGGGGCACGCGGCTGCCTTTGCACATCTAGGGTTTGGTCACTGCTCTGCGGACCATGGTGTTGTATGGCTTCAAGCACGGTGAGCGCTGCTTATGACAGTGTTCGTACATATAACGTGCCTATGCCTTAATATGCCAGACGCCATTATTCAGGTCCTCATAAACTACGTGTAAATGTTGGCTAAAGCTTCTAGCACGACTCCGAATAGCAAATACCATGAGGTGCAGGGTGGTTTGCGGTGGCAGGAACTATAGTTTGACATAAATGACCGAATGCAATTCGTACACTGTCGCCGCTTTTGTAGAAACAATGAAGCAGACGGAACGGTCGGTTTCCTAATCAGAGCAGCTTCTCCACGCCCCTCGCAGGAAGTGGAGAGAACTACAAGGACGAGCCAGCAAACCGGATATAAGCCGAGCAATTTGCTCCCGCATGACTTCGTGCCTCGACAACGCAACGCCACTTACACCTTGGAAAGGCCGTCTGCCTTTTCCATCAAACTGAGGCCGGTGAGACCCCTGCTGTAGCGTGGGCGTCCGTGCAGGAGAAGCCACCGCGCCAGCGAGTGCAGCTGACCCCCTCACAGAGGGTGATACTAATCCCTTCCCGGTCAGTTACAGGTGCAACCATGGATCAGGGTGTTGGTATCGCTAACTGAATTGCAGACGGCACATTCCTCTACCCCGTGCAGTTGGTTTCCTAACTTTATTGCACCTGTTTGTTGAAGGCTGACAACAGTGCTTAAACACGCACCAAAATGGTTGCATCTATACTTTGCGAATGAGCACACATGACTGGACGCACGCAATCCACACTCCTAACAATACGAGAGTCATTCTCTTTTGTGTAAAAGGCAGTCTCGCAAGAACGTGGCGCACCGCCAGCCGCCTTACGGATGAATGTCCGCAACTTCACGCGGCGCGGCTTTTAAAGATTAGCGTCTCATAGTCCTGAGAACCGTATACAGATGAGACCAATGGTTACAGAGACAAAAGCTTCAGAAAAACGTGACGTCCGAGCTATACCGGCCCACTCAAGCTTGACGTTTTCTACAGTCCACATTACTCCACACAGACACGGGTGTCCTGCGGGCTCGCTCGAAGTCGTGACACAGGTAAGAAATCATCCTTTTGACGCCGGTAAAGATGATGACATCAGCGCGGTTTCCAATGCAGCTGCCAAGGGCTGGGAGTCACTTCGCTCCGAGGGCTTTTGCCAGGCTGTGGTCAGACTTATGACTGCTCTATCAGGCTGATGTGCTTAAGTATGAGATGGTGGCCTCATGCGCCTCATCTCCCCTGATCTCGTCAAAACATCGCTTCATCCTCGCGAGTGGCACCGACACATCCCTCGCCCAGGAGGTTAGAACGTTGGCCGAACGTAAGGCCAAATGCTCTGCGCCTCCCGTCCTCCCCATTCCCTGGAAGTCGAGGCCCTGCAGTCCACTGTGTCTAACCCAGAAACTAGCCAAAGGGACAGTCCGCCCACTTGCACTGCTTGGAGCAGCCGTCACCCCTCATCTGTCCAGTGCGGAGCAGTCCTCCAGCCTCACCCGAACCGCTGGGGGCGGTCGTTCCGCCTCACCTGAACTGCGTGGAGCGGTAGAGGCCAGCCACGGTGGCGACAAGTGAGGCCACGTAGCCGCCGCCGGCTGGCTCTGCGCCGCCCGACTGAGCCAACAGGATGGCGTACTTGTGACTCACGTCTGCCAAGTCACGCTGCAGACGCACGTACTCCTCGCGCAGCAGAGACAGGTGCAGCTGCAGCTTTTGCACCTCGCCTGTGGCAGGCAGAGGTCAGAAGGTTGTGGAAGGGTGAGGGTCCCACTGCTGGTGGGGAGAAACCCCAGCTGGGGCAGGGGTAGTGTTGTGGAAGATGTGTCCAAGAATTCTGAGACTACTCTCAACAGAGAAGTGACAGGTTCAGATAAAGTGGCACATGAAGTGGGTGCTCCTGGTATTAGCAGATTGAAAAGATATGTGATCATGAGATAATTTGCAGCCTCTTCACATGTCATGTGGCAGCAATTTCTCAAAAGATCATTGGTGTCTGTGAAGACCATTGGTCTTTTACTCTAACCAAAAGCACCATGAGAACAAAGAGTTGCTGTAAACTCTACTTAGATATTATTTTCACAAACACCTTGATGCACTATGTAAAACTTAGCATACAAAATTGCCATAAATATTCATCATGAGGGGACTGTATGTCAATAATCATCATAACCACTGCTAATGTTTACAGAGACAATGAGAAAATCAAGTACAAAGTAGAATTATGGGTAAAAAAATTATGCATAAAATACAGAACGGTATTTATGCATTCTCACAATAAGGCAAACCAGGAATAATCATGACTTAAGGAGCCTTACAGCAAACTATGCACATCTTAGTGCTATTTCACCATAGTAAAATATTAGGTCCTAAGACAGTAAGCATGGTTATGAAAGTGACACACACTGTGAAGATGGTAAGCCATGAAATGCTTGTGATAAACCCTGAACTTTTGAAACTTTGTTGCATCCACAGTGCAACCAAAGGCCTTGGAGACATGGCAAGCACTACTATGAGCTTAGCTATGGCCATGGAGTAATCCACTGAATAACAACTGTGGCAGTGTGCTGGGAAAATGATGCATGTCAAAGCAGAACAAACAGGCCAGTGAAAAGACCTTTATGACTGGTGTTTGAAATCTGACATGACATTCATCCAAGGGGACTTTCATATCTCTATATACTCTGAAGCATAACACTTGTTACAGGCTCTTGCATTTAAGCCTTTCAAATGACTTACCTTGACCGTCCATTGTATTTTTGGCCGCAAGATACGCAACGCTGGTAATACTTGCACAATGCAATCAGAAGCTTCAGGTCGAAAAGCTGATGAATACTTCCTGAAAACTATACATACTTTCAACTAAATATGGCTGGATGTACAAGTTTTAAATGTGAATTATACATGCTAACAAGAATTGCAGCCACCTCTCATGGCTATTCACTATATAACTACCGAATTTCCGACCGGATTTTGCTAACCGACCGGGACTTACGCCACTTCATCAATACAGCACGAACCTAACCAAATTCGATAATGTCCTTGCCACTTGTTCCGCACAGTTTGGGTGACCCTTAGTGGTGCACTACTTCGAGACGTCTGCAAGCAAGATCAAACTATTGTTACGCGAAACATTCCTACACATCCCCATGCGCACCCGTCGGACCCTGAGGGAGGGGAAAGTGACCAGAACTGCCGAAACACAACACGATGCGTTTTACACTGATTGTTATGCGATATCCGCATTCGACTCCGTTGCGCTGTTATTGTCGCCCGAAAAATGGGTGGAATCAGTGGAATTGTGCTTTGTCTGACATCTAGCGGTCACTTTACAAACATAGCTTTGCATGTTGTCCTCGACTAAAGCGTCGCTTCACGTTCGCGTTCCCCCACCGACAAAGTACGTACGGGTTTCAGGCACGGAAGCATTGCGGGAGCAGTTTATCGGGTAAAGCCACCGCATCAAGTATTCATCATTAATGAAATGATAGCTGGAAGTCGCAGGCGTAGTTTAAGAGCCGCAACCCAGCTAACGTAAGCAAGAAAGCCTGCCCGTCTTTATTATGATAAGGTGTTAACCATATCCCCACGTTCTATGTCTCATCCCCCCCCTCCCCCTCCCTTCCCTCTTAGGTACCGAGGGGCCCGAAGGGCTCCTCGGAACTTACGATTAGGGGTCCGATTTGAGGGCTCGAAGGGCCTGAAAGGTTGGCCGGTGGCCGCATTTAGGGGCCCCGGCCCGCAGGGTTGTACACTCCAATGCCAGGCAGGACGTCCTGCGCGCGATCAGGCGCCTTCTGAGTCGATAAAGGCCTTTATGTCTGCCAGACACCAACAGTTACGCACAGTCTGCTCCGTGGCGGTGTGTGCCCTAGAGTCAATTTCCCAAGCAGAGACAAAGCCGGAGCCAGCGATTTACATTGGTCGGGGCCCCATAGTCGCAAGCGGTTGCCATCCACCCCGTGTCGGTAAGGGACGACAACCTGCGGGGACGGGCTTTCAAATGACATTCGGAGGGTCATTTACACCGATCGGAGAACTCATGAGTCGACTTGGGCCTATCTGTTGGTCAGACACCACCCGTACCGTACAGTCGGCTGCTGGCCGGTATGGGCCTGAGACCCCACTTTCCAACCAGCTACAAAGCTTCCCAACCAGCGGTGATTCCACTACCCAACCAGCAGTGATTCCACTACCCAACTAGCAGTGATTTACACTAGTTGGGATCCCTGTATCTGCCAGGGGCTCAGAGTGCCTAACATAGGGCACTCTGCTCGCAAGGGGCCCCGCACCGGCCAAGGGTAGTGTTCGATGACGCCCGAAGAGGGGCCCGAGTGGTCCAACGGAACCGACCATCAAAGGCCGGATTGGAGGGCAAAAGGGGCCGAGTGACTGTAGGTCACGTAATGGTGAGGACCCTCTGACACGATGCGAGTGTCCAAGTCCGCCAGAGAGTTTACGAGCATCGAACAGTTGGCTCCCTGTCAGTCTGAACCCTGGGGCCCATTTCTTAAGCAAGGTCGAGGACTACGATTTGCATTGGTCTGGATTCATGAAAGAGTGGTTGGGGCCTTGTGTCGGTCAGGGGCCAACAGTGCATAACGGGGGTTATGTGGTCCTAGTTGGTCGGGGAAAGATTTGCTCAACAGAGACGAGAACGGGACCCCAAATGACAAAGCGCTTCTTGCGTTGGTCGGGGCCCTCTGACAATGAAAGGAAAGATGAGAGCCTATGACGGTTGTTCAGACTGAGGCAATGGAAAATTCCTGTGTCAGTTAAGGCCCCCAGTACCAAACGGCGGGCCTTCCAGCCTAATTCCAGCATGGGCCCTTTAAGCCAAACGTGAGTCTATGTGCCAATTATTGGACTAACTACGACGATCAGAGGTGTTGTTGCATCAATGAGGGTTCCTGCCTCTATCTAGGGTTAACTGCGTGACTCAGAAGGCTTTCTGCGCCAGGGTGACGCATCACTCTAAGGCCCTCCGGGTCGATTAGGGGATCCCGCCCCGTGTCGGCAGAAAGGCTGCTGGAAGACGCCACGCGGTAGGACGGAATGGCCAACCAGCCCTTGACCGACAACAAGGTGCTCCCTAGAGTTCTTCTCAAGGGGATCTCTCTCGGAAAGAAATAATGGTCTCACAAGTGCCGAACTGAGTGGGCCGAGGTGGATTTCAAAACGAACAGGGTCATTCCATGTATGTCTGAGAACTTCTGTTATTTTGCAGAGTCGACTAGTGAAGCAAATTACGTCAAAAGGTTTGAGCCTGCACCCTGCAATGAAAGGAGCAAGGACAACGGTGGTTTGGGTTCCAGTTTCCGTAAAACCGAACCGCGTTGGACACTGCAAGAACACCTGGCGCCAGGCGTGCGCGCGAAAACGACTCGCAAAATAATTGTTCTGAATGTATTTCAAAATCAATTCGCCCCATTCAAAGATGAGACTAGGTGCATCTTTTCTGCAGATTTGAGGTTGTTCTCGGGACGAATTTACAATCACAGCAACACGAAAAATAAAGGTTCCACCTTTACTCTCCCGGTTCCACCACCAGATTCCAGCGCTACTTCGCGAAAAGGCCAATCCGTTTTATCATCAATTTAAAGTCGTACAGGTAAAATATACCCCTGAACCACCTTCTAAATGTACAATTTGACGTGCTTTAGTGTTCAAATGCACTTTTTCAGATGCGTCATCATTTTTGTCCACCCGTGGGCCACGGCTTAGCGTTAGTCGCGAGGCCGCCGCTGCGCGGCCCACAGGGACTGCCACGCCTGGCGTCGAGGTTTTTGTTACCAAGTTGCGAACGCACATGCTCAAAACTATATTACATAATTTATATCACTATCCAATTTTGACTAAACGTTGAACATGTCCAGACTTAGCCATGGTAATACAAATTAGTAGCCAATTTCTATCTACACTCGCGTGGTCCTTAATATCTCTGCACAGCCCAGATAAAGATTCTGGCAAAGCTGATAAATTCTATCGATTTAGCAAGAGTCCATTGAATCTTTGTGAAATAAGGAGGGTCGTTGCTTTATTTCATGCAGTAGTTTGACGCATGATTTCTTCAGTTTGTTGAGTAAACTTTAGGCAGAATTCATGTCGCGGTAGTATGAATGACAAAGCGTAAAATGAAAGTGATGGAAGGAGAACATGCCCTCATCAGTAAATGTGCTATATATATATATATATATATATATATATATATATATATATATATATATATATATATATATATATATATATATATATATATAGATGTATGTATATATATATATATATATATATATATATATATATCCGGCAACTTTTGTTTTGTTTGAAGGGGGTCTTAAACTATCATGGGGCCTTTTGTCAACCCTGTGCCCTCTTCTTGTCAAGGCTATGACTGCGCGCCTGTAGGCATGTTTGTAGGCATTTAAAGCATATCCAGATATTTGGCTCGTTTTGTACTCATCTCGACCAGCAACAACAAAAACAGGACGATTCATGCAGAGTAAAACTATCACAAAGGACGCACGCAAACAAACACTGCGTTCGTAAGTACCTAGGGTGCCGAACCCAGCCGGTCTTTCAAAATCATGTAAAAAGCATGCGTTTCATCTCACGGCGGCGGAAGTCGGTGCGATTGGGGTAACTGTGTGGGGGCGTAGTTTTGTAAAATGAGTTGGGGGCTGAACGGCGAAAGGTGACGAAATCTTCCCACAAAATAGCCAACAAATGGAATTTATCCCTGATTTGGCCAACTTTTTCTCCATTTTGGGGCTGGAGCCCACTTTAGGGATTTGGACTGCCCCCCCCCCCCTCCCCAACTGAATAAGAAAGTATGACTCTGTTACCGTAGCTGTGAACATGAGGGTCAAAAGTGTTGAAGTTTGTCGCAATGGACAGGGCCCGCATCGTGCTATGAGAAAAAATGAACATAGAAGTTCTGTTCATTTCATTTTGACTATCAATTACTTGGAAGATATCCACAACTATTTACACTATAAAGGATGTGCAGGTGCATAATCATTAACAATGCTAGCGTTTTATGACACCATCACATGTTGAGCATTTAACGTCAGGTGCCCGCCCCTATGGGGTTCTGTTCTTTGTGGGAATGTTTTAACATCCAACGTGGTTGGACGATTGGACCTCGCAGTCAGCCGTTGGTTGATGAAGACGTAACACTATACCAACCCATGCAGACAATGTCTGCGGCAGACAGTGGCGCTTTCCATATCCCTTCCCACCAATAAAAAAACAGCTCGAAAAAAATGGAACTCTGCCACCTCACATAAATCCAGTTACGCGCATCACAGTGAGCCGAATTGGCCGTGGCGTTCACTTGGCCTCAGCAGTGGCAGGTCACTAAGAGTAGGCCCATCAGTGCACGACTCGCTGGCGTACGGCGACGATATGCACCAACACACGCAGCCAGCACTACTAAAGGCGGGCGCGAAATGCCTGCAATCGAACGTCTTGTGGACATTGTGAAATACACAGCACTGTGACGCAGACGCCCGAACACGACAGTTCGGAAATTGGTGATCATGCACCACGTGACCATCAGGTGCCGCTGCAATTGGGCTGCTTGTTTGAGGAACACATATTGTGTTTTATGGCGATGTTGCAACATGGCATCACTCACAACGCTCACCCGCCCGAAAGAGCGTTCATTCGTACCTTTAATATGCACAACGCGTCATTGATTGCAGGAGGCCCAAGGCATTTTTGACCAGGCAAGAAACAGAACAATAACATAATGTCACCGTTGTCCACTCACAATTCAAAGTGGTCTCACCCAGAGACAGCTTAGACCGCGTCCTAAAAGCGAAATCAATGCGCAGCACCGGTGGTGGCGCTGTCAAGTCTTCTTCCCATCCATTCTGCACCCCCAAATGAGAGTCTCAGCTTCACAAGTGCGCTTATCTTATGTGACAGGGGATTCGGTGTGATGCTGCGTCTTGAATTCGCGTCATTTTTTCCTGGATATCTGCGCTACGCAACATTAGCCCCACTGGGGCGAGAAGAGAAATAGTCCCGAACTCCGACGCCTGCCAGGGACGATGCATATTTCCGCCGCCAGGCAACATGGTGTTCGGTCTGTTCCACTTCACTGTTGCATGTATCACCACGTCAGGCATATCTCCGCCGCCAGGCAACATGGTGCTCGGTCGGTTCCACTTCACTGCTGCATG